CATTTTTTTTTTTTTTTTTTTTTCCTTCATTGTCTCTTTCTCTTACCCTATAGTAAAAGTTTGATATAATTTTTTGGTAAGTTAAAATAATAACAATAATATAAAAATTTAAAACTCTTTATTATTTATTTATTATATTTATTGTTTTATTTTCAAACAAGTAATCTTTCATATTTGTAATAGATTTTCTAAAGATTTTATTTCGGAAAAAAGAAAATCTTTTCTAAAAAATTTATTTTTAGATAATCAAATCTTTTTCTAGAGTGAGAGTCTATTTAAAGTGTTTAGAATATTTTTTTAATAAATAAAAAATTTATTTTTTAACAAAAAAAATTGTTCTAAAGTTATTTTATTTTCTGTTTTTAGTTCACAATTTCTACAATTTCAAAATTTCACATCTCAAATCTCACGATCTCCCGATCTCACAATTTCACAATCTCACGATCTCACAATTTCACAATCTCACGATCTCACAATTTCATAATCTCACAAATTCTATTCATAATGTCGCTCTTAACTCAAATTTCTCGTACAACATTTTTACCTTCTCGAGTTTCTTTCACAATGTCACAACCTTTATTATTATTTAATTCATTTAATTTTATTCGTGGAATGAAAGTAAGATCTTCGGTAAAGAAATTTTGTGATGGTTGTTATACCGTAAAAAGACGGGGTAGAATTTTTGTACTTTGTAAAAAGAATAAGAAACATAAGCAAAGACAAGGATAAGTTGACTGTGATGACAATTTATATTATATGTTCATAATATCAGACTGTGATGACAATTTATATTATATGTTCATAATATCAGATTGTGATGACCTATAATTATATCACCTTTTTCCTGATCTATGTGATTATAAGGTAAACTTTTATGATTATTGTTTGATTAATTGTTACAATTAATTCAATTATAACAAAAATTTCAACAATAAAAATTAAAAATTCATAATAATTATATTTTGTTCACATTCCACAATTCATGTCGGGAAATAATTATCCCATAGGATTTCCCAATTCCCCGTGGCCTCGTGTAGAGAATTGAAATATATTTGGATAATTATTAATAATTATATTTATTATTTACGTATTTACACGTTATATTCGAAATAATAAGAAAGTTCTTTTTTTCCATTAATTATTTTTGAAATAAATCAATTTGAATATATGTACAATATATATTTTGTAAATATATTTTGTAAATATACGTAATCTAAGAATTCAAAGTCAATAGATCATCAAAATATTTAACTTTTGTAACTCTAGTGAAAGAATGAACCATGAACCTTAATTTTTTTAGAATGTTTACCATTTTTATAATTGGATAATTGGAGAGCGTGAATTTCACAAATCATAAAATCAAATATAATAAATATAATTAAAGTAAAAAAAATAAAAGATTAAAAAAGGTGGTAATTTACATCATTAAAAGACAAATACCAAATAGCCGAATTTTTTAAATTATCTTTTTTTTCTAATCTCCGAATTCATCTCTTAACTTCATCATAATTGGTTTATCTTAATTGGTTTGCATTTTTAATGAATGAACTTCTCGATAAGGACATAAAAAGATGAAAAAAGAAGTTCTGATTATAACGATTAACCCGATAATTCATCATAATTTTATGGAGAAAGAAACTTATTTTAGAAAAAGTTTTATAAATTTATAAATATTTTCATAAGTTCATCACTAAAGTAGGATAGATTTACATGAAAATTTTCGGTTAATCAATTTTAACTGTTTCTCAAAATTTTTAATTTTATTCTTATCATATAATAAAAGAACGGATAAAATTTTTATATTTTTATCTTTTTTTTTCTCACATTTTCATGAATTTTTTCTTTTCATAGAATTTTTTTTTTTTTCTTTTTTTTTCTTGATAAGAATTTCTCTTAGACAAACCCCATGCGTTGCGTATTATAAGGAAAACATTGATATTATTAAAATATTTTACATCTAAATTATAAAGTAATCGGTAGCGTCTTATTTAATAATTTTAAAATACTAATTTTATTGGGCAAATATTCGGCGTGTTCCCGATTTACGAAATCTTATTTTTATCTTAAAAAATAAAGATGTCCAACTATAATTTTTTCCGTGGATATATATAATATATAATATATATAAATAAGAATTAGATAGCAAAAAAAAAAAAAATTTATTAATATTTCTAATTTAACAATGACACGTGATTGGTCGATTCCACGAAAATTCTATTTCGGGAATCGGCATCGGCTTAATCGTATAACCATTACCAATTTTTAATATGAAACATGTATTATATAAATTATAAATTAATAATGAAATTTCAATATCCCCGAAATTTTCTCCGTATTTTTATTTTATTTTATTATTATTTATAAAATGTTTGCTGCGCCAAATTGTATACGAAGTGTTTTGTGTTTATACTAATAAACTAATTATAGTTGTTTTGGTTACATCATTATTATCATTATTAATTACCGATCTTTGAAATGTTTTACACTAATAATAATAATAATAATAATAAAAATAAAATTCTTTTTTTGTAATAATGGTGATTATAATGGTAAGAAAATACAAGTCGAAGAAAGGGAAGGGAAAAAAATGTCAAACAAATCAATCTCAATTTTTTTTAAAATTGTTATCTAAAATAAGGCATGAAATAGTATATATTTAGAAAAAAAAAGGAATGTGATGAAAAAGTTATATGTATATAATGTTGACAATTTGTATACAAATTGTAAAAATATATATATATATATATATATATATATATAATAATAATAATAATAATAATAATTCGTAATAATTTGTTTTCAATTAATTATTGTTTTTTTCCCCAACATTACGGTATTTTATTTTTCCCCCAACATTACGAATAATTATGTGGTACGAGGAGTTTTTTGTATTAATTTAAAAACTTCATAATCTTCAATGGCGAAATTTGTAGTTGAAGTTATAGTTCTTTCATAACAATTTTGAATACAACTCCAAGGAAGATCATAAATAAATTTACCATTTGCAACTCTAGAAGATTCTACCATAGCCAAATCAGAAGTTCCAAAACATGGACCAATACAAGGAGAATCATCGATAGCACATTTAAAATTAGAATATTTAATACGACTTAAAATTGAATGATTAGGATCTTTACCATCACCTAAAGAAAATATAAAACTTTCTGTACTTTCAATCCAATCACCTGTTGAATTCCAACCATTTGGATTATAACCACCTAATAATTCTCCTGTACCTTTAACTTTTAATACTATAAGAGCAGGACCTTGATTATCACAAAGTCTATGAAAAGTTGAACATTTAAAATTATCTCTTGAACCTCTTAATAAAAGATTAAATTGATAAGGAACCAAATGACATGTAACAGGATTAAAATTTTCTTGACGATCAATCCAACTTGCGATTAAAGCTGCATGTCTAGTACCAAATAATTTTGAATCAAGTACAATTCCACGAGGTGAGAGTATAGTAGTAAATTGAGGTTTATCAATTTTAAATTGATGATAATTTAAAAGTTCATTATATAAATCTTTTGGAAGTAAAATTTTAAAAGGTCTAACATGATTAAAAAAATCTGCACCTGATATATGATAAAATCTTATATATGGTATACAATCTTTTAATTTTAAAGCTAATTTGGAGAAATCATCTGAAGTCCAATCATTTGGATTATTAAAAGGTAATTTAATTTGAGCTGTTCCCCATTTAATTAAAATATTCCAAACATCAATCTCTTCAAGATGAAGGTCATCCCTTTTTAATATTCCAATTACTAAATTATCAGGCCATTGCATAAATCTTCCATGTCTACGAAATTTTTGTGGATCATCTGAAACCATTTTTATGCAATGTTCTTGAAGTTTTTGAAAATTATCATGTTGAAATATAAGATGACAATATTCATTAAAATTTTCATGTAACCAATCATTTTCCTTTATAATAAAATAATCTTGAACATATTCCAGAAGCTCGTTCAAGCACAGCTCATCGGTAGCTACTAGAAGCTCCAAGATTTTTCCTCCATCAAATTTCTCCAACGAGACTGTACCACCATAAATATAACTATGGTAAAAAAAAAAAAAAAAAAAAAAA